AGGATTTCATAATCAATGAGAACCCAAAAGCAAATGCAATTAAAACAAAGATAAATTAGGGAGGGTTCTCTATCTTGTGGAATAGTGTCAAAATGGGGACTTAATTACACTAAAGAACTTTTGCAAGGCAAAAGAAACAGCAGAGTAGGCTGGGCGCAGTGGCTCAAGCCTGTAATCCCAGTACTTTGGGAGGCCCAGACGGGCGGATCACGAGGTCAGGAGATCGAGACCATCCTGGCTAACACGGTGAAACCCCATCTCTACTAAAAAACACAAAAAAGTAGCTGGGCGAGGTGGCGGGCGCCTGTAGTCCCAGCTACTCAGGAGGCTGAGGCAGGAGAATGGCGTAAACCCGGGAGGCGGAGCTTGCAGTGAGCTGAGATCCGGCCACTGCACTCCAGCCTGGGCGACAGACAGAGACTGTCTCAAAAAAAAAAAAAGAAACAGCAGAGTGAAGAGACAACCTACAGATGAAAAAATGCTCAACATCACTAATCATCAGGGAAATGCAAATCAAAACCACAATATGATACCACCTTACTCCTGCAAGAATGGCCATAATAAAAAAAAAAAATCAAAAACCAGATGTTGGTGTGGATGTGGTGATCAGGGAACACTTCTACACTGCTGGTGGGAATGTAAATTAGTACAACCACTATGGAAAACAGTGTGGAGATTCTTTTTTTTTTTTTTTTTTTTTTTTTGAGACGGAGTCTGGCTCTGTTGCCCAGGCTGGAGTGCAGTGGCCGGATCTCAGCTCTTTGCAAGCCCCGCCTCCCGGGTTCACGCCATTCTCCTGCCTCAGCCTCCCGAGTAGCTGGGAGTAAAGGCGCTCACCACCTCGCCCGGCTAATTTTTTTTGTATTTTTAGTAGAGACGGGGTTTCACTGTGTTAGCCAGGATGGTCTCGATTTCCTTACCTCGTGATCCGCCCGTCTCGGCCTCCCAACGTGCTGGGATTACAGGCTTGAGCCACCGCGCCCGGCGAGATTCCTAAAGAACTAAAAGTCATACTACCATTTGACCCAGCAGTCCCACTACTGGGTATCTACCTAGAGGAAAATAAGTCATTATATGAAAAAGATACTTGCACACATGTTTATAGCAGCACAATTCACAATAGCAAAATCATGTAACCAACCCAAATGCCCACTGCCCATTAATCAATGAGTAGATAAACAAACTGTGATACCACATAGATAGATAGATAGATAGATAGATAGATAGATAGATAGATAGATAGATATATGATGGAACACTACTCAGCCATAAAATGGAATAAATTAATGGCATTCACAGAAACATGGATGAGACTGGAGACTATCATTCTAAGTGAAGTAACTCAGAAATGGAAAACCAAACATCTTATGTTCTCACTGATATGTGAGAACTAAACTATGAGGATGCAAAGGCGTAAGAATGATACAGTGGACTTTGGGGACATGCGGGGAAGAGTGGGAGGGAAACGAGGGATAAAAGACTACAAATAGGATGCAGTGTATACAGCTCGGGTGATGGGTGCACAAAACTCCCACAAATCACCACTAAAGAACTTATGTAACTAAACACCACTTATACCCCAATAACTTATGAAAAATAAATAAAGTAGTACACAGGTTACTTGAAGAGGAAAAAAAAACAGCTTTCCAAATTTTGATGTAATAAAAGAAAAGAAATATGCTTTTTTTTTTTTTTTTTTTTGACAGAGTTGCCCAGGCTGGAGTGCAATGGTGGGATCTCGGCTAACCACAACCTCCACCTCCCAGGTTCAAGTGATTCTCCTGCATCAGCCTCCTGAGTAGCTGGGATTACAGGCATGTACCACCATGCCTGGCTACTTTTGTATTTTTAGTAGAGATGAGGCTTCTCCATGTTGGTCAGGCTGGTCTCAAACTCCAGGCTGGTCTCAAACTCCAGGCCTCAGGTAATCCACCCACCTTGGCCTCCCAAAGTGCTGGGATTACAGGCATGAGCCACCGCGCCCAGCTGAAAAAATATTTTTAATCCATAATACTTGATCAGAAATTATTTTATTTTAAAAACAATAAAAAACAAAGACTTTCCAAAATGAACGCTAAGGGTGTTCATCAATCGCTACTAGCACAGTTTAAAAAAACAAAAAATGCTACATTGTGGACAGGCACAGTGGTTCACGCCTATAATCCTTCACATTTAGGAGGCCAAGGCAGTCGGATAACTTGAGACCAGGAGTTCAAGATCAGCCTAAAAACATAGTGAGACTCTGCATATATAACAAGAAAAATGCTAAAATGAGTCTTTTATGTTGAAAAATAAAATGATGCTAGATAGCATCAAAAAAGCATATATAAATATATAGCTTTCTATTAAATGTAATTGTAGAGACATATATAGAAAAAAAGAAATGCTAAAATGAGTATTTTATATTGAAAATAAAATGATGCTAGACAGTATCAAAAATCCATATATATATATATATAGCTTTCTATTAAATGTAAATATACAGACACATATAAAAAAAGAAATGCTAAAATGAGTTTTTTACGTTGAAAATAAAATGATAGATAGCATCAGAAAACATATAAATATATAGTTTTCTGTTAAAGGTAAATATACAGCTACATATAAAATTTCTTACTAAAATAATAGTACATAAAACCCTTAAAATTCTTCTATAGAATATAAAAACAAAATATAAATCTGCATAAATCTGAATACACAATATGAAATAATTTATAATTTAAATTATAAAAATTTATAATATTAATAGCAAACTAGAAAATATAGTTTTTTGTTCAACTGAAGTTATGAAATTAAAACATATTGATTTAATCTTAAGATATTTTACATAATGTCCATTTTTCAAGATAACTACAAAAACTTTATAGAAACTATGCAAAACAAAATAAGCAAAGTGTGCCACTACAGAATTAAACAAAAAATAGTTAAACAAGAAATGAGAAAAAACAGGTTTTAAAAAAACCATATAAAACATAACAATGAAACTGGTATGTAATTTTCTTTCTTTTTTTTTTTTTTTTTTGAAGTGGAGTCTCACTCTGTTGCCCAGGCTGGTAAGCAGGGGCATGATCTCAGCACACCACAACCTGCGCCTCCGGGTTCAACTGATTCTCCTGCCTCAGCCTCCTGAGTAGCACACCACCATGCCTGGCTAATTTTTGTATTTTTAGTAGAGATGGGGTATCACTATGTTGGCCAGGCTAGTCTTGAACTCCTGACCTTGTGATCTGCCCGCTTTGGTCTCCCAAAGTGCTGGGATTACAGGCATGAGTCACCGTGCCCGGCATAACTTTATTTCTTTAAGAAATCATTTTAAATATAAATTTATTAAACTACTTAATAAAAAGAAATGAAATTCCAGGACTTTGGGAGGCCAAGGTGGGCTGATTACCTGATTTCAGGAGTTTGAGACCAGCCTGGGCAACAAGGCAAAAACCCTGTTTCTAACACAGAAGAAAAAAGGTGGGGGGGACAACAACAACAACTAGTTGGGTTTAATGGCACGTGCCTGTAACCGAGCTACTTAAAAGGTTGAAACTAGAGGATTATCTGAGTTTGAGAGACTGAGGCTGCAGCTCACGGCCATTATCACACCATTGCAAACCAGCCTGGTTGACAGAGTGAGACCCTATTTCATTGATTAATTAATTAATTAAAAGAAAAAGAAAGAAGATGCCTGAGTGGCTTAAGAAAAAAAGCATATGATATGTTCCTACAAGAGACCAATTTTAGTACTGAGTCAAATAGTGTGTAAGTAACAGAATGGAAAAAAATCTGTATTTCATGCAAATAGCCACAATTGGGTGAGGTAGTCATAACTATATTAGATACAATATGCTTTAAGTCAAGTACTAGTATGAGACAAAGAATGTTATTATATAGGCCGGGCGCGGTGGCTCAAGCCTGTAATCCCAGCACTTTGGGAGGCCGAGGCGGGTGGATCACGAGGTCAGGAGACCGAGACTATCCTGGCTAACACGGTGAAACCCCGTCTCTACTAAAAATACAAAAAACTAGCCGGGCGTGGTGGCGGGTGCCTGTAGTCTCAGCTACTTGGGAGGCTGAGGCGGGAGAATGGCGTGAACCCGGGAGGCGGAGCTTGCAGTGAGCCAGAGCTTGCAGTGAGCCAAGATCACGCCACTGCACTCCAGCCTGGGAGACACAGCGAGACTCCGTCTCAAAAAAAAAAAAAAAAAAAAAAGAATGTTATTATATAATAGTAAAATGGGTCAATTTACCAGGGATCTATAACCATTATATTTATATGTACAGGTAGGTATAACAAAGGGCTCCAAAATATATAAATATTGACAAAAGTGAAGCAAGAAATACATAGCAACATAATAGCTGCAGACACTGAGACCCCATTATCAATAATAAATAATAAATAGAAAATTCATGTAAAAGATTAAGAAAACAAAATGTAGATAACATTATAGATTGTAGTATTTTGCATACAGAGAAATATCTGAGAGTAGATAATTTATAAAGAAAAAAGGTTTATTTGGCTCACAGTTCAGCAGACTGTACAAGAAGTACGTGCCTGTATCTGTTTCTGGTGAGGGTCTCAGGAAGCTTTTGATCATAGTGGAAGGTGAAGAAGAACTGGACATATCACACGGTAAAAGATAGAGCAAGTGTGAGGTAAAAGAGCCAGGTTCTTCTAACATAGTTTCTCAAAATTATACAGATATTTGTGTGTCCCCAATAACAATGGAAAAGCAGTCAGATTGTGGAGTCCCTTATATGCCATGAACACGACTTTGGCTCTCATTGTAAACTTGAAGAGAGATCACCAAAACGAAAATAGAATCCTTAGAGAACTTTAAAGCATAAGACAGAAGATGCCTCTACGTGATAGTAAAATTTAAGAAATCTCAGTCTTCTCAGAAACTACTTCCTTTGGAGCACATCTTCTCAGGTCACATATTGAGAACTGGCTTTCTCCTTGACCTCTGGACCTCTCATCTGTGGTGTTTGTTGTATTCACTCTCACATACCTGGGGGTTTAGTTACCATCTCATGTCTCTTCATATTCCAAGACTCTTTCCCTTGCTTCAGACAAGCTATCAAGTCTAGCTTAGAGACAGCAATACCTGTTTTATTAAAAATAAATAACACAAATATTGCTCATATTCCACAAATAATGTGCTCATTAAAGAGAATGTAATAGAATGTTCTAGTAAATTGATCCCCCAATACTAATTTATAACATACATTTCTAAATATTTAGAAAATATTTTCAATTTGTATAGGCCCTTAACTTTACTACCCGGTACTACTGACTCAAAAATTGGTGGTGGCAATGAGATTTTAAGGTGTGGGCAACTGTATTTTATGCCACTAAATTACTGCAATTTTCACTAATCTAGAGTGAAAAATACAGATCTGCTCAGAAATGTGAAATGTTCAGATAATAATGAAACATCTTTAAAAAATTCCTCTTGGCGGGAAGGGGAACATCACACACCGGGGCCTATCATGGGGAGGGGGTAGGGGGGAGGGATTGCATTGGGAGTTATACCTGATATAAATGACGAGTTGATGGGTGCTGACGAGTTGATGGGTGCAGCACACCAACATGGCACAAGTATACATATGTAACAATCCTGCACGTTATGCACATGTACCCTAGAACTTAAAGTATAATAATAATAATTAAAAAAAAAAAAATTCCTCTTGGCCGGGTGCGGTGGCTCACACCTGTAATCCCAGCACTTTGGGAGGCCAAGGCGGGCGGATCACAATGTCAACAGATCAAGACCATCCTGGCCAACAAGGTGAAACCCTGTCTCTACTACAAATACAAAAAAAAATTAGCCAGGTGTGGTGGCACATGCCTGTAGTCTCAGCTACTCGGGAGGCTGAGGCAGGAGAATCGCTTGAACCTGGGAGGCAGAGGTTGCAGTGAGCCAAGATTGCACCACTGCACTCCAGCCTAGGCAACAAGAGTGAAACTCCTCAAAAAAAAAAAAAAAAAATTTTCTGTCTACACTTACAAATCCCTGTTTTCAGAAAACTCATTTATGGTGAGCATAAATCACCAAAACACATTCTACAGAAAAGAGAAATGAAACCTATAGAATATAATAGGAATTGTTTAATTAAAATTATCCTCACCCAGGAAGACCAGGTTTCTGTAGTTCTCTAACATAACATCTCTATATAAAGTCTGCTGAGCCGTGTCCAGGCATTGCCACTCCTCCAGAGAGAATTCTATGGTCACATCCTGAAAAGTCAACGGTCCCTGAAAAAACAAACGAAACACACACATATATTTCCCAAGTGGCCACGGGCAGAATTTTTCATTTGACTCAAGATGAAATGATAGAATAAGAGAACAGGTTCTAACTTATTGGGATGACCAAACGTATCCACTAAAATAATTTTCAACACAGAAATATTCTCTAATGTATTCTCAAATTCTGAGAAAAAAGAATGCATAAGATCCGCAACACCAGTGTAGATAAGATACTTTTCTGGATAATAAAGTATAAAATTAAGGGCATGATAACAAACATGTATATTTTTTAGTGCTATATTTACATGATACAGAAGTCTTGTATATTTTTCAGATCAAAAAGACATGCTGAATTAGAAGACACCTCTCAAATTTTAATGTGTACAATTAACTGGAGATCTTGTTATGCATATTTGTTTCATAAGATCTAGAATAACGTCTGAGTTTCCGAATTTCTGACAAGTTCACCAGTAATGCCTGTTTTTGGCCCAAAAAAGAATCTTTTCTCAAACATTCACCAAGTAGAGGAGCCTGTTTTTCCCAGTTTTTCTGGCCTGTAAACAAAGATGAGAGACCTCATTTTCCAAAGATAGATACATGCAAAGAAAATCTAAGAAAGGCAGGTGCCAGATTAAATGTGATCACTGGTGCACATCAGCTGCATAAAGATACTTAAAAGGCTGGGCATAGTAGCTCATTCCTGTAATCCCAGCACTTTGGGAGGCTGAGGTGGGAGGATCACGAGGCCAGGAGTTCAAGACCAGCCAGGCCAACATGGTGAAACCCCATCTCTACCAATAGTACAAAAATCAGCCAGCCATGGTGGTGCACACGTGTCGTCTCAGCTATTCCAGAGGCCGAGGCAGGAGAATCGCTTGAACTCAGGAGGCGGAGGCTGCAGTGAGCTGAGATCGCGCCACTGCACTCCAGCCTGGGGAACAGAGTGAGACTCTGTCTCAAACGACAACAAAAAAAGATACTTAATAATGAAGAGAAAACTAATTTATAGTGAAAACTGTCGGAGAGCTCTTCAACCAAGTGAATCATTAACATCAACTGCACTAGGACAAATTTATTTTATTTATTTATTTATATTATACTTTAAGTTCTAGGGTACATGTGCACAACGTGCAGGTTTGTTACATATGTATACATGTGCCATGTTGGTGTGCTGCACTCATTAACTCGTCATTTACATTAGGTATATCTCCTAATGCTATCTCTCCCCCCTCCCCCCACTCCACAACAGGCCCCAGTGTGTGATGATCCCCTTCTAGTGTCCAAGTGTTCTCATTGTTCAATTCCCACCTATGAGTGAGAACATGAGGTGTTTGGGTTTTTTGTCCTTGCGATAGTTTGCTGAGAATAATGGTTTCCAGCTTCATCCATGTCTCTACAAAGGACATGAACTCATCCTTTTTTATGGCTGCATAGTATTCCATGGTGTATATGTGCCACATTTTCTTAATCCAGTCTATCATTGATGGACATGTGGGTTGGTTCCAAGTCTTTGCTATTGTGAATAGTGCCGCAATAAACATATGTGTTCATGTGTTTTTATAGCAGCATGATTTATAATCCTTTGGGTATACACCCAGTAAAGGGATGGCTGGGTCAAATGGTATTTCTAGTTCTAGATCCTTGAGAAATCGCCACACTGTCTTCCACAGTGGTTGAACTAGTTTACAGTCCCACCAGCAGTGTAAAAATGTTCCTATTTCTCCACATTCTCTCCAGCATCTGTTGTTTCCTGGCGTTTTAATGATTGCCATTCTAACTGGTGTGAGATGGTATCTCATTGGGGCTTGATTGGCATTTCTCTGATGGCCAGTGATGATGAGCATTTTTTCATGTGTCTGTTGGCTGCATAAATGTCTTCTTTCGAGATGTGTCTGTTCATATCCTTTGCCCACTTTTTGATGGTTTTTTTTTTCTTGTAAATGTGTTTGAGTTCTTTGTGTAGATTCTGGATACTAACCCTTTGTCCGGTGAGTAGGTTGCAAAAATTTTTCCCATTCTGTAGGTTGCCTGCTCACTCTGATGGTAGTTTCTTTTGCTGTGCAGAAGCTCTTTAGTTTAATTAGATCCCATTTGTCAATTCTGGCTTTTGTTGCCATTGCTTTTGGTGTTTTAGACATGAAGTCCTTGCCCATGCCTATGTCCTGAATGGTATCGCCTAGGGTTTTTATGGTATTAGGTCTAACATTTAAGTCTTTAATCCATCTTGAATTAATTTTTGTATAAGGCATAAGGAAGGGATCCAGTTTTAGCTCTCTACATATGGCTAGCCAGTTTTCCCAGCACCATTTATTAAATAGGGAATCCTTTCCCCATTTCTTGTTTTTGTCAGATTTGTCAAAGATCAGATGGTTGTAGACGTGTGGTATTATTTCTGAGGGCTCTATTCTGTTCCATTGGTCTATATCTCTGTTTTGGTACCAGTACCAGGCTGTTTTGGTTACTGTAGTCTTGTAGTATAGTTTGAAGTTAGGTAGCATGATGCCTCCAGCTTTGTTCTTTTGGCTTAGGATTCACTTAGCAATGCGGGTTCTTTTTTAGTTCCATATGAACTTCAAAGTAGTTTTTTCCAATTCTGTGAAGAAAGTCATTGGTAGCTTGATGGGGATGGGATTGAATCTATAAATTACCTTGGGCAGTATGGCCATTTTCATGACATTGCTTCTTCCTATCCATGAGAATGTAATGTTTTTCCATTTGTTTGTGTCCCCTTTTATTTCGTTGAGCAGTGGTTTGTAGGTCTCCTTGAAGAGGTGACGGGGAGAATGGAACAAAGTTGGAAAACTCTGCTGGATATTATCCAGGAGAACTTCCCTGACCTAGCAGGCCAACATTCAAATTCAGGAAATACAGAGAATGCCACAAAGATATTCCTCGAGAAGAGCAACTCCAAGACATGATTGTCAGATCCACCAAAGTTGAAATGAAGGAAAAAATATTAAGGGCAGCCAGAGAGAAAGGTCGGGATACCCACAAAGGGAAGCCCATCACACTAACAGCAGATCTCTCGGCAGAAACTCTACAAGTCAGAAGAGAGTGGGGGCCAATATTCAACATTCTTAAAGAAGTTTCAACCCAGAATTTCATATCCGGCCAAACTAAGTTTCAAAAGTGAAGGAGAAATAAAATCCTTTACAGACAAGCAAATGCTGAGAGATTTTGTCACCACCAGGCCTGCCCTACAAGAGCTCCTGAAGGAAGCACTAAACATGGAAAGGAACAACCGGTATCAGCCACTGCAAAAACATGCCAAATTGTAAAGACCATCGATGCTAGGAAGAAACTGCATCAACTAATGAGCAAAATAACCAGCTAACATAATAGTGACAGGATCAAATTCACATATAACAATATTAACCTTAAATGTAAATAGGCTACATGCTCCAATTAAAAGACGCAGACTGGCAAATTAGATAAACAGTCAAGGCCCATCAGTATGCTGTATTCAGGAGACCCATCTCTCGTGCACAGACACACATAGGCTCAAAATAAAGGGATGGAGGAAGATCTACCAAGCAAATGGAAAACAAAAAAAAGCAGGGGTTGCAATCCTAGTCTCTGATAAAACAGACTTTAAACCATCAAAGATCAAAAGAGACAAAGAAGGCCATTACATAATGGTAAAGGGATCAATTCAATAAGAAGAGCTAACTTTCCTAAATACATATGCACCCAATACAGGAGCACCCAGATTCATAAAGCAAGTCCTTAAAGACACCTACAAAGAGACTTAGACTCCCCTACAATAGTAACGGTAGACTTTAACACCCCACTGTCAACATTAGACAGATCAACAAGAAAGAAAATTAACAAGGATATCTAGGAATTGAACTCAGCTCTGCACCAAGTGGACCCAATAGACATCTACAGAACTCTTCACCCGAAATCAACAGAATATGCATTCTTCTCAGCACCACATCGCACTTATTCCAAAACGTCCACATAGTTGGAAGTAAAGCACTCCTCAGCAAATGTACAAGAACAGAAATTATAACAAACTGTCTCTCAGACCACAGTGCAATCAAACTAGAACTCAGGATTAAGAAACTCACTCTAAACCACTCAACTACATGGAAACTGAACAACCTGCTCCTGAATGACTACTGGGTACATAAGGAAATGAAGGCACATATAAAGATGTTCTTTGAAACCAATGAGAACAAAGACACAACATACCAGAATCTCTAGGACACATTTTAAGCAGTGTGTAGAGGGAAATTTATAGCACTAAATGCCCACAAGAGAAAGTAGGAAAGATCTAAAATTGACACCCTAACATCACAATTAAAAGAACTAAAGAAGCAAGAGCGAACACATTCAAAAGCTAGCAGAAGGCAAGAAATAACTAAGATCGGAGTAGAACTGAAGGAGATGGAGACACAAAAAGCCCTTCAAAAGAAAAAAAAAAAGAATCCAGGAGCTGTTTTTTTGAAAAGATCAACAAAATTGACAGACTGCTAGCAAGACTAATAAAGAAGAAAAGAGAGAAGAATCAAATAGATGCAATAAAAAATGATACACGGGGCCAGGCGCGGTGGCTCAAGCCTGTAATCCCAGCACTTTGGGAGGCCGAGACGGGCGGATCACGAGGTCAGGAGATCGAGACTATCCTGGCTAACACGGTGAAACCCCGTCTCTACTAAAAAAAAAAAAAAAAAAAAATGATAAACGGGTATCTCCACTGATCCCACAGAAATACAAACTACCATCAGAGAATACTATAAACACCTCTACACAAATTAACTAAAAAACCTACAAGAAATGGATAAATTCCTGGACACATACACCCTCCCAAGACTAAACCAGGAAGAAGCTGAATCTCTGAATAGACCAATAACAGGCTCTGAAATTGAGGCAATAATTAATAGCTTACCAACCAAAAAAAGTCCAGGACCGGACGGATTCACAGCCGAATTCTACCAGAGGTACAAGGAGGAGCTGGTACCATTCCTTCTAAAACTATTCCAATCAATAGAAAAAGAGGGAAT